TCTCTCTACTATTATAATATATATTAATATACTATATAATATATATATATAATATATATATCACCATATGTGCTATATAGATGTGGCTTTTTGAGACATGCTCAAACACCACACACAACTGCTCAAGCGTGCCAAGACGACCACGCAATGCAGGCGCACCGCAATGAAGGTGCAAACAACCGCGTCTGCTGACCACAGTCCGCCGATGGCCTTTCAAAATTTATGGGAGCGCGAAGGGGTTAGTCGGTAGGGGACGTGAGTAATGTACCCCTTCAGGAAGGCGAACATTCTGGCGTTCAACCTTCTTTGAACACGTCGAAGATTTGGACGTGCTAGGAGACCTAAGTCCATGAGGAAGTGTAAGAACCCATTTTGTAGATAATACGACGCTAATAATTGTCCCAATAACAAAAGAAAGCAGGATAGAGAAAAATTCAACCTTCTGAATCGGTGATTGTGAGGCGAAGTATAATATTTTCATAAAGAACTGTGGAAGTAGTGGAGTAGCTAGTAGAGGCGGAATAGTGGCCGCGAAGCGATAACTTTGAGCTATTGCGCAGGCGAACTGAGCAGTTAGCTACATGAATAAGAAGTGTTTGTTGGAGAACGCCAGAAAACCGATATGTCGCTAGCAACACGCGTAAGGACTTTTAAATACGCGTCGGCAAATGCCGCATAGAAAGTGGCGAAGAAGAAGGGCGAGGATTTGATGCGAGCGTGCGAGAAGGCAGACCTAGAAGATTGGACATGAACCTGTGCAGGAGAGAGAAACGGCGTTTCAAGTGACATCGCGGACGGCTGGTCTGCGAGGGATACGAAGCCGACGGTGAGGCAAGGTGGGCAAGGTCGGGACAGCGCTACGACAGGATCGGGCGGGAGGTGGCATACCAACTGCAGCGCGCACGCGGACAAGGTAACGAGAATATTGAAACGGGAATTGAGGAGAATAAAGGCACATGAACGCGCTAGTCCGTAGTGATTGAAAAGAGAGAATAAATCCAGATGAGAATTTGAATAATAAATTAAAATTTGGTGGCGGTCATAACTGCAAAAGGAAGAACCCGCAACAAACTAGTCAGCCATTGTAATGTCATTGTGTGAACTTGCTGAAGACTTCATTGGTAAATATTTTGAGCATACTAAAATGTGAATTGTAGTGCGTTATGATGACAAAGTTAATTATTGGAATTAAAAAGTATTCCATTTGATTTTGTTTTAATTAGGTAAAAAAAATAATAATTTGCAAATATTTGCTGGTCAACGCATGGATAAATTGCCGTGCAGTGAATTGCTGAGAAAGTGTAAATTTGGGAAGTTTAATGTTTAAAAGTCTTAAGAGGAGTATTCTATTGAATACTGAGCTATTCTAGAAATGATTTTATTTTGACATGTTTTTGGAGACTGGTAGTGATATTTTCTTTGTGTTATTTTCAGTGCTTTGTAAAGAGATTACTGTTTAAGAATATACCATTGATTCACCTTTGCCTTGGAAATGCTTTCTCACACCTTTAAAGATCCTTGTCCCTTAAGGTCACTAAGCTCATTATGCAGCATTCATTCTGTCGCCTTCCGTTCTGAGTGAGTCTTATGTTAAAAGGGGAGGGTGGGTCAGAATAGATATAACGCGATCAGGCCTTGAATTCTTATTTAGGTAACGGAAAAGTACGCACCTCTTTGGCAGTTACATTATGCTCAACAATGTCTAAGGAATCAAATTAATTATCTATACCTTCTTCTGGCATATCAGATACGTATGAATACAATTATACTGGATTTTTTACTTGAGGCAGTTGATTATCAATAATTAATCAAATTTTAAGTATCTGGAATGGAGATTTTATTTGCAATTGTTTTTTCACATTTCACCTAATGCGATCCACAATATTTGCACAATAGATTTATTCGATTGTAAATGCGTCCCTGTCTAGTCTGTCGTCATTAATCGACATTTCAGATGGGTCATCACGAAAATACTGCGGGTAGCGGAGAGGTCCTCGTCACATGTAACGGGAGCACCAGAATTCCAGCTCGGTGCGAGGCCATTCTTGCCTGCAGAGCCAGCTGCGACGCCACAAGCGGAAGTGCCCAGCAGAAGAGTCCACTCGCTTATTCATACTTAAGACCTTCAACGTAGTTTTGTGCTCTCCACAAAGTGAAAATTTGAGAATTCTAGTGTGAATGAAAAAATAGAAAGTCAATGAACTGTTGATCGAAAGTTTTGGATTTGGTGATTTTCTTTTTTAAATAAACGTGTCTCCATCAGACGGATCACTTAAAAATGGCTTAATTGTTTAATCAAATACATTATGTAAACATTCATCATTTGAGCCAGAGGGTCTGCCGGGGTACTCAATGCATTGGATGCTAAGATGGCAGGGTAATTTGCATGCTTTGGCGCCCTACAAATAGATTAAGTGCGCAACGCCTGACATCTGTTCACGCAACCTGCACTGCTGTTGTGACTGTACCGCCCTCCTCATCACATTGTTCTGATTTAAAGAAATTCCAACACAAATGCCTTATAGCTCGTGAGTGGCCGGGTCTTCTGGTGCGCCTTGAAGACTGTAATCGGGAACGTCTCAAGAAGCTTGCGAATCTGCGTGACGCCTCTTTATGTACGGCGGAGTGTCCAATTTTCTTTGTTCTGGTGACGTGTGGTTCAATAGATGTAAGCGGATTGTGAGAATTAATGGCCTGATACAAAAAATTGGCACTAACTATTCGTGGCGAAAAGCAGCTTTCAGAACTTCGCATTCAGCAGGGGAGGCTGGTCTGACGCAGATTCTACTGCGGCGATGCAAGTTTTTTCAGTATGTCAGAAAATTGCCAACTCTCGTACAAAAAAAGCGTCACAGACAATCGAAAAAGTCTTCAGGCGTTTCCAGATAAAGACTTCTAAGGTGGCAACAGAAGCTCGGACAAACATTGATGAGCGTCAAAAATCAGCTTCCACCGTTCCAAGCGCGGAGTAAACTCTATCCTAGCAGGCTGCCGGTCGTATTACAATCGGGGAGATCGAAGACAAAGATTACAAGAGATGCATCTTGTGACTTCAATTCAAGATATAATGCTCTGCCCCAGATCTCCGCTTTGAGAAACGAACTTTCTTTTCTTTTCAATTTCAAACTCTTCACTGCTGGAAGATTGGTTATGAAATATCATATCCTAGGACTGTCTCCCCTACAGGGACGGGGGAGCGGGAATTGGGGGGTTTGAAAGAAGGGTAATTTTTTGAGTATATGGTTTGTGTTTGGGCTGTCTGAACGAATGGAGAAGGGGAGGGATGTGGATATGAATGGATTGGATGGGGGATGGAAAGGAATTTAATATTTTTGGTGGGTCTTAGTTCAGGTCATTCATGTCACATGTTAGGTTTATTAACTTATTTACGTTTAAAAACTGTGTGTGACGTGCTAAATGGGGAGAAGTAAATTAAGTTACATTTATGTTCAGAAGCATAACAAGGTCCATCTCAGATTTGCTCAAGGATGCAGGGAAAATAGACGAAAACCTGATCGAGGATGGTGGCATTGACCCAGACTCTTGAACTAGAAAACTTGTTGCAGATGCTTTTCGAATTATACAATCCAAACTGGACCAATAATATATTAAATATGATAATTTATAATATATTTACTTTCCGTTTGGATTCTTCTGTAGTACTATAATTGTACAGAAAAAGTTGTACAGCAGAATAGATTTTAACCTTTGACTTTAAAATTTTTTCTATTCGAATTATCTCCGTTTGAATGTTCAGTCCTGTGAAAGGATGTTTCCGAAAAATAATGTTTACATTGGTTTACAACGTACGGAACACGTTTGTGTGCGACAATCTAGTTGCGGATGGAGAACTGTCACCTGATGAATATGACGACTACGTCGAGTGTTGTCGTAGTTATTACGACATCGGTCTTTGCTGAAAATTCACTCGTAAGCTAACTTCCACTCTAAAGGGCAGACCCAATGAAACGGTGAGTTTGGCGGCGCGCGTGCTTCACGGGCAGAGGAACCAAGATTTGGAGATGCTACTTGTAGCGGTCTTCGCTGGCATGCGCACGCTTCGAATCCTCGCGGCCAAAATCAAAATTTCGCACCCTTGTTCTAACACCTTCTTCTTCGTTTCCCAGCCTATCACCTTCTCTTTGAAGCGTCCGCTTATTCACCGCGTGCGTGCGTCCTTGTGGGCGTAAGCGGAACGAGGTTTTTGCGGCTGCTACCCAGGTTGCAGAAAATAGAGCGGCGCGCAGAATACTCCAAATCGCCGACCAGACCGCACACCTAAAACCGCTGACTGTTTGCATCAGGGTCTAAGGTATGTAAAACATTTCCGGCGGAGCGCTAAAGTAACGGACGAAGACGCTGGCGAGGCGCTGGGGCCGTCACTCCGTGCATCCTGGCGAGACGCGTAGGCAGCAAACACGGGCACAGGCTTTTCACAGACGAAGGCCACAGCACGTCTACTTCACTTCTGCTCGCTGCCCGCACGCGACCCTTGAGCTGTGAACGCGGGATCAGCAAAGTGCGTGGGAGCGATCCCAGCAGCCCTGGAGCCCGAAACTCGCGCGGAAACGCGGTTATCGAGGTGGGACAACTGTAACCAAAAAACGGCGCGGCGTCACGGACGCTTGAATAAAGCGACGCCGAGCAATGCGAATATAAGTGTATATAATTAAATGTGCAGTGGGTGTGAATGAGTGTGTAAACACGACTGTAAATTAAAGGAGTCAATGTGAGAGTGGAATGACAATAAAAACAAAAGAAAATTTGAAGACAAAAAGAACTTTAAAAAAAAATAATCCAGAACTGTACAAACCTATAAAGTCAAAAGTGCTCTGTAAACATAGTTAAATTAAGGTATTTTTTAGCATTATTAAATACGTGCCCCGCCTGCAAAGTTTCAAAAACTAAACAAGCTGTATGGAAAATAATGGAAGACCACTCAATTGAATAAAATCCGCCTCTCCAAGGCTATGTGGAGAGGGAAATCCAAAAGAAAATCCTGACGAACTGCAGCCCGGAAGAAAGACGAAGATACCGCTGTCGAACACGTCGCCGTCGGCAGCTTTTACGCGGCAACTCGCCCAACAGCCCTCAAGCATACTGATTTTGGTATATTTTTTTATTAAAATTAACATTATATAAACAAAGAGAAATTTAAATTGTTTTTTTAACAAAACTTTAATTTTTTATAAAACCCTTTATTCCCCCCCAATAAAAGATCATAAATTCGACTCTGATTTGTTCTATATTAGAAATTACTGCTTGTAAAGGCGGCTCTCACATTTCGACATTCGGCGAGTTAGCGAGTACTGTCGCCAATCTGGACAGCTGATGTGTTCGCCGATGTTGCTCCTTTGATTGTCCTAAAGACGACAACGCGCTTGGAAGAGCGGAATGCCGAATGTTTCGGTGCTCGGCGAAACGCTAGCAACACGCCCATACTATTCGGGATTCGCGCGAATCCGCATGTGGCGGAGCCGTCTTAATACGTTGTATTTTCATATCATGTTATGTGGGTCCTTTGAATGCAATACGTCTGTCGTGGTCAACGCTAACGCAAAATCGTTAGTCGATTTTTTCAAAAAAATTCTTTATTCGATTTAAAGGAAACGAACCTTTTGAAGTTTAAAACGATAATTTGAATTTTGGGTAGTACTTTCATAATCAAAAACATATTCATAAATGTTCTCAATATGGCTGCCAAGTTTTTTTTATTGAACTTTGTTCTCAGCGTAAAGAACGGGCTTTTTACGTTACAAAAATTTATCAATATAGTATTTTTTTTAATTTTAATATTCTGGGCAATTTTAGAGAATTCACAGTTTGTCGAAAATATTTACGTTTAAGTCTAATGCTCTATCCAAGGAAAATAACGAAAAACTGGAGCGTTTTAGAAATTATTAATTTAGCAAA